CAAAATTTTTCGTAATTCAACCAAATAAAAAATAAATGAATTAATTAAATTATAATTTTAAAATATAATTATGGTGTAACAACGTGATAAATTATGATTTTATTAAAACGGTTCCATAATGTTAACAATAAGCAACAAAAAATTGTAATTTAGTAAAAGCGTTTTTAGCAGTGAAAATTTTTTTTTCTTAAATGTGATATTTTCATTAAGCATCATATTCCTAAAAGAAAAAAATTGAAAATCTTATAAACAATGTATTTATTTATTATAATTACAATTCAAGTAATTTTTTGTAAAGGAACAGAATAATCAAATAATTAAAAAAAAATCTTGATTGATTTATTAACGTTTTTTATATTTCAATGCCTTAGATTGGTAATAAAACATTGAAAAATTAGAATTTTTTTTGGCAATATTTTCTAAACTCTTTCAAGAAGTGACAAAAATATTCTGGGTTAGACTATTTTTTTTTTATTATTTTTTTTTCGTCGTATTATTATTTATTCATGTGTCTAGAAAGAACTGTATTTTTTATTCCTTAATATTCTATTTTATTTGGTTAAAATAATCTTTTAGAGTCCCTTTTGATGTAAAGATTTTTCCGATAAATCGCACATTATCTCATAACTAATCTAACTTTAACCCACTGAATAGAACTAGTTTAAATAACACTATTGATTACATAATAAATAATAATAATTTATTCATTTAATTTAACCATTATTAAACTAGCTTGCGCCCGCGGCTTCGCCCGCACATTATATCGTGCTTAAAAATACCTACGGAACCCTTCGTGCGCAACTCCAACTCGCACTTGGGCGATTTTTTTTAACTTTATATAAACCATCATTTTACAGACCATAGTTAACTATAGTTTCATCGCACAAATCTACAATGTGGTTCTTTAAGTTGATATAATTATTTCATTTATCATCCGACTTAAATAAAACTAACAATAAATGTTAAGAGAAGCTTACTACAATGCATTTGTAAAAGTTGCACTGAAATCGGAAAGGCCGTTTTAGCCAAGTTAGCGCACACAGACAAACAGATAAACAGACAATAATTTTAACTATCATTGTTTTGGGTTCTATTGCGTTGATAAAGGCCCCTAATAATAGTTTTTCTCAAATATCTTCCATGTACAAACAACAATCAGTAAAATTTTTATTATATGTATGATATTCTTTGAGCTCATAGTTCGCCGCTGCTCCAGTTGCTTAAATCAACTCGGGATGATATTTGGATGCCTACTTAGGAGTACAGCATTTTGGGCTTTACCTCAATCGAATTAATACAGGCTGCATGTATTAACAAGCATAACAACAAAACTATACACTTTATAGTAAGTAGGTATTTTGATACTGTCCCAAGGATTCATTAATATCAAGCGATAATATCTACAATATTAAAAATATTTATTCACTAGCATCCTATGGTAAACTAATTAATAAGAAATAGGGTATAACCATCTCTTTGTCAATTATATTTATCTTGGTTATTATATTCGACATATAGTAATAGTTTACTCAATAGAAAATGTACATGGAAATTCAGTTCTTATTACAAACACTGTGGAATTAATTTTACCAACACTGACGTCGAGCTGCGTATGCGCGCTCACAGGGATCAAGAAAAGTTTAAAAAGTGCCTGAGAAAAAACCGTTACGCGGAGCCACAAATACTTTAGAAAAGTATAAAACAACGGTTAGAGTATATTGCTGAATTTAGAAATATGTCTAAGCGACACAATACGCTGTTCAAATATATGCTTTCCGGCCTTTAAAATAAAGCTTAAGGGCAAGTAATATTGGACAGAAAGGTGGATCAACAAAGTACTCTTTTAATTTTGCTGGATCAAACAAGTCATGGAAAAGGACTATATATATATATATATATATAAATATATGTATTGCTCGTTTAAAGGATAAGATTACTGATCTAGGTTCATGTCAATGTTTGTTGTTTTTTCTAATTTTATATGATTCTATACCTAATTATGTTTTGGCGTTTTTTTTTAAATTCAAAACTGGCCTGCACTTGACCGCCATCCCACCTGATGGTAAGTGGCGATTCAGTCGTCGATGGTAAGCGCGCTAGCTCAGTAAAAACCTATTCACTCTTGCATTGAAGACGCCTACGTTGTAATCGTTTCATGTGTGTAGTTGTGCATGATGAAGACAAAATACGACCGTTCATACAGACATGAGTAGGAACAAAATCCTTTGCTCCCTTCCTGAATTTCCAAAACTATCTTCCTAAGTTTTGGAATTCTTCCTGATTTTGATTGCATTTTGCAAAGCTTGCAATTGTAAACTATGCATAACTACATCAATGCTTGTAATTGTTACCAAATATGATTCCGAAAGAGATATTTCAAGTAAAAACAAAATTTTATCTTATTTTTTAAATATTTCAAACTATCCAAACGCTCTTTTAAGTTTGCCTATGTCAAAATGGGAAAATAGAGGGTAAAAGACCTACGCCCGGTTTCTGAAACACTGATCATCGTAGATGTCAACTAATCAACTGTCAAATGGCTTTTCAGATTTAATTCTAGTTGCCAAAAGGATACTCTCTGAATGGATCAGAATGATTTTCTTAATGATCAGAATGATCAATTCAAAGAGTTCTACGATTATCAGTGTTTCAGAAACCGGGCTAGAGGCCGTAATTCTAAAGGTGGGCGGATAAAATTTCTGAAAACTTAGAAATCTCCATAAGCGCTGCACTCCACCAGGCATCCGACAGAGCATAACCGATGGAGACAGTTCGTTGACGAATTGAACATGAGTCACGATCCTCCGCAGTGAGGGAACGACCAAGAAGATGTTAAATGCCTCATGCGAAAGAATATCTATTTCATTAATTAAACTGTACTGTCTCTAACGATACTAATATGATGCCATATTTTTGGAGATGAGTTTGGCAGATTTATTGCTAGTGTCGGAGAGATTCGCCTTTATGAGATGGTCACCCTCTTGCACGTGCAGTGCTCCCAAAGATTTATTATCTGCTTGCGATTTCATAATTTATAAAATTAAATCCAAGTACAACGCAAAGCGCTGTCGCCAAACTCTATCTTCAACAGTATAAATGGAACAGGAGAACTGTGATTTAAGTTTTTTAAATTATACAGCGTGTCGTTACCATCGCGACAATAAATGAACACACGTCTAACGCTACTTGCCAATAATCATAAAAAAAATATTAACGTTAAACAAAATCCATAATTAAAAAAAAATATTTTTCAAACAAACTTATTAAGTAAAAAAGAAACAAAATTTGTAACATCCTATACTACTCGCGCCACAGCGTCGTAATACAAGCCTCTCCTTCTAACAGTATGTTTTGTCTCTTTTAAATTCATTCAACCCATTCATATGCTTTGTGACCTTTACAAATGAACTTTACGTTACACTTTTATAGGTAAGGGTGTTCCAAAATTCATTATTTTGGAAAATTTAATAACTCTGTAAATATTGATGTTTAAAGAATTTAAATGTTTAATACAACTTTAAAAAGTTATCCCCTATATGTGTGTTCATTTATTGTCGCGATGGTAACGACACACTGTATACGACTGGAAAACTGGGTATCCATGGTCATGTTATAAATAAAAAAATGTCCTATTTGGCAAACTGGAAAGAGTGAAAAATGAGACATATTATAGTAAAGCTAGAGACTGAGAATGTAGGAAAAATCCCCAAGAAGACGATAAAACACAGACTAAATACTATAAATCAGAAGTGAAATTATATGTATAATTCTGTTTACATATAATGGTAACTTAAAACATCGATCTAATATTTACAAAATTAAATCTATCTAAAATTACATATTATCTTATAAACGTAATCCACGCAGCATGGTGCCAAGAACGCTAGCTGCATTTCCTCGGTGAATAGTTTTGTTTAACCTTTGAGCGAGAAAAGAACCAGCTTTCTTGTCACCAACCGCGGCGTTAAGCCAAGGACATAAACTTTTAAAAAATTTGTGCAAATGTACCCAAAGTTTCAACACCAAATAGCATAAATACATAATGTAAACATAAAGACTCATATGTGTGCCGCTTACTTCAGCTGCCTCCGATGCCGCCCCGGCCCTAACCGAAGTACCCCTGAGACGAGAGGCATACAAGTGTCTACACAAGTGGCGTCCCACACAAGGGCTTTGCCTCTCTCCCAAGGGATCAATGTTAAACCGTCGGGTCTCTTACCATCGTCGCGAAAAATGCCACAGGGCTCTAAAATAGATGGAACTTTGATGGAAACAAGAGCCCTACGGGTGATGTCGTTCAGGGAACCGTGGCGGGAAAAACGGCCAGCACTTTTTTGACTAGAAAGCCCGTGGAGACCAAATTTGTCTACACTGACACCACAAGGTCAAGATTGAACCGTATCTCTCTGTACTCTCCGCACCAAAGGAACATCCCTGTGTTTTTTTAGGTTTACTTTGGGTAGGATATTATCGTTGGAGCAGATAGACAGCCAAGACATCCTTGCCTCCTCTACATAGGAAAGTTTTGAATCGTGATTAAGGATGTTATTATTTACGCTATGCACGGAAGCAAGAAAGGCAGGTAGAGCGACACAAAAAATTTTCCTTACACCGATACCACCAAAACGAATTGGCAGCGTAGCTTGAGTCCAGCTTAATTCATAAAGAGATAAATTTAGAATTTTGTCTAGAGCAGATTTAAGATGGAAATCAATTTCGTTCAAAAGGTCACCGCATTTCCAAACTGGACTCGAGCGAAGGAGGTACGTAAATTTAGGTACAAGAATACAATGTCGCAAAATAAACTATGAAATAAAATAATAATTCTGTTTTCTGTAATGAAAATTGACAGATTGAATTGACACTGACATTGTTTGTCACTGACATTATAATGTATTAAAAATTTAAAATTAGAATCCAGATAAAAATACTAATGTGATATTTTATTTATGAGCATACATATGTTTAATACTTGATATTTTTAATAAAAATCCACAAATATGGCATTAGTTTTAAGAAAGTCCGCATCAGAAATTTTGTCAGCTGCCAAATGGATGATCAGCAGAGGTTATATATGCACTTTTTTGTTTTGTGTTGCTAATATAATACTTTTATTGTACTATGCAAGTTTATTAAACTAGTCATTTTTTAAAGATCGTCGAGTCTTATCATCTTTACCTGAGAAAGCAGAAGAAGTTGTTCAACAAGAAGAAACAAAGCCCGCAGGACGTCGACCTCGTTTCCAAAATGCGGCACTGGAGTACAGACATATTTTTCCTGAATTTTTACCTGATCCAAATCCTAAGTGGAGAAACACATTACGCGAAAAGATGGAAAGAGCGGATATGTTAAAAAGAAGAAGCCAAATTGATATCCCTGAGTTTTATGTTGGTATGTATTGATATTTAAAAATTATTTGTATATTGATATAACAACAGAATTATGGTGTTAAGTGATGACCACTTCGTAGGATGTCTCAATAAGGTTTTAATGCTATATGATAAATTCCTTGAGTTTCCATATATTTTTAATACTTACACTCTCATAGGTATCTTTATATTGTAAATTTATTTAAATATGTAATTTCAGAATGACTTAAATAAAAATGCGAGCAATGATATAGTGTGTATGATATGAACTTGGATAATCTTCCATTTTCAATAGTGAGCTATTTGACAATTGGTATGTAGCTTATAGGTATGATAGAGAAAAATGTAATTTTCATAATCATCATCATCATCATTTCAGCCTGTTTGAGTCCACTGCTGAACATAGGCCTCCCCCATAGACTGCCATTTTCATAATAAAGTTGTAAAAAGTTGTAGGGGGTGTATGACTGGCACTATTTAATATTCTCATTTCTAGATGCATATACAAATTTGAGAGTAACTGAAGATATTTGGATCAGTATATAACAAATTCAAATGAATTACAGGATAAATTGTACATTTGTTGTGTACCTCCTTCTGCAGAATTGCATTTATATTAAAATGATTTATAAATAAAGTAAGAAGAGTTTAGGAAAAAATATCCATAATGTTAGTATTGTTGGTGAATATAATTTGAGATATAATTAAAAATTTTGTAAAAATTTCTTAATAAAGCTCACTAGCTAATAATTTTTAGCAATTAACAATTTTCAACAATACAATAATGTTCCTCAACAATATACAATTTTTAATGTATAAAATTGTTCATCAAATAATTAAGGTAGAATCTCCCATGACATGACACATTCACTTAATTACCTTATATGGTATAGTATATAAATTAAAGAGATTGCATGGCGACAAAAGTAAACATTGCATAAAATGAAACAAATACAATTAGATTTTTTCAGTTTTGTTATTTTAAAACGTCAATGCAAAGTATTAATCAGTACTTGTTACCATAATTACTTTATTAATCTCGAAAGAAATTGAAGATTTGAACTAAAATGTTTACGTTCTTTTCTAAAAACAAAGGAAAATCTTGTAACCTGTACCAATCCATGACCCTTGATGATGCAAGCTGGTATGAGCTTTTTTAATATTTTATTCATTTCAAACACAAAATTGTATCAGGGTACAAAACATTTTTTTTATAAAAAAGTTAATGATGAATATTCAATCTAAAGTGAAGGTTATATACAGCGTGTCGTTACCATCGCGACAATAAATGAACACACGTCTAACGCTACTTGCCAATAATCATAAAAAAATATTAACGTTAAACAAAATCCATAATTTAAAAATAATATTTTACAAACAAACTAATTTAGTAAAAAAGAAACAAAATTTGTAACATCCTATACAACTCGTGCCACAGCGTCGCATTACAAGCCTCTCCTTCTAACAGTATGTTTTTCTCTTTTGAATTCATTCAACCCATATGCTTTGTGACCTTTACAAATGAACTTTATGTTACGCTTTTATTGGTAAGGGTGTTCTAAAATTCTTTTTTTTGGAAAATTTAATAACTCTGTAAATATTGATGTTTGAGGAATTTAAATTTTTATACAACTTTAAAAATTTATCCCCGATATGTGTGTTCATTTATTGTTGCGATGATAACGACACGCTGTATATGCATATAGCTTGTGTTCGATTACTCATATAAATTTTGTTAATATAAGCTAAATTACTTTTAGGATCAATTCTTGCAGTCACTATTTCCGATCCTCATGCTCAAGGAAAAACAAACAGATTTGTTGGAATATGCATTGAGCGAAAAGGTTGTGGGCTGAGAGCAGAGTTTACTTTAAGGAATGTTGTTGACCATCAGGGAGTAGAGGTACACAGATTATTGTGATTTTACATGCTGTATACTGTTGAAATTTTACCCAAAAACCTTAAAATTATTGCAAGTGCGAATCCCACAGGTTTTCAAAAATAATTAAGCAAAATAGAAAATTGATCTAATGTAATGCTACATAGAAACTGAATAACCGAAGAATTGAAACTGATTTACTTTGTTTTTAATGTTTATGATATCTGAGAACAAGAAGTTTTAATTTTCTCCTTAATTCAAAAGTATTCATTAATTATTTAAGTTAATCTTTCTAAAAGTAATTCTAACTATGTACTCATGACATAATATAAACAGCTTTTTGATGAATATAAAATTATAATTGCAGATTCGTTATGACCTCTATGATCCAACTATTCAAACAATACAAGTTCTTCGCCTTGAAAAGCGATTGGATGATAAACTCCTTTATTTGAGGGATGCCCTACCAGAATACTGCACATTTCCAGTTGATATGAATCCAGAGTTACTTCCGGAAGGTACCCCAGTTCCTGTCAATCCTGTTCAGGTATTAATACTATTGTTAATAAGAAACACCTTTAAAACACTGAATCAGCTGTGACCTATTACAAATCTCTGTCAGATTCACAGTGGTCACAAGATTTTATGCAAAAAGGGACCATTGTTTTCAAAATAATCTTACCTTTTGTATATTTTATTGTTTCGTGTGCATTCAAATCATTCAATGTATGTTTTTTGTGTGATTATAAAGTTGTTTCATTACGCACCATATTAAATGTCAATATATGTATGTTAAATGGCAATTTAACAAGGTCAATATTTTAAGGTGAAACTAAAACCCAAGCCATGGCTTGAAAGATGGGAAAGACAAGAACTCAAAGGAGTATCTAACATTGAAGAGCACTTGAAAGAGAAAGACAGAGTCAGAAGAGAGTTAAGGAAGACACCTTGGGAGAAATTTGACTTGATGAAGCAATACAGGTAATAATTGGCTTTATAACTATTTTTTGTTTATTCAAATAACGAAAAACATTTATATAAAAAACTATTCAAGCTATTTCCTAAACAATAGTGAATTAGCAATAAAATACGGTTACATAAATTCTTACACTTTTTCATGGATTCTACATTCTCACGAAACATACAATTGCATCCATGCACTATTCATTACCATAATATAGTCCATATTGTTTTTTACTTATCACATACACTTATGACACAACAATCCCTAACTCAATCGCTCGAACAGAGTTTTTCCTATTGCCTATTACCTTTTTCTCAGAAGGATCAATCTCTCTCGACAACCATTGCCGAACCATGACAGTTTTGTAGGAGATCTCTTTACTCACTTTCAAGCATTGCTTTTTCAACTTGTAACATAGAACATGTTCAAGTATAATTGTACATTTTAATTGATAGAGCATTACCTCTATCTATATTAGTATAATATTATGATATATATATATGATATATACTTATGACATTATGATGACCTTTCCAGAAAAACAATTCCAATAGAAGATCAAAGTGAAATATGGAGCGAAGTTTACAGTCAATTGAATCAATTACGTCTATCACGTAAGAAGATACTTAAAAAGCGCAACCTCAGTACACCTAAAACTCAACTTGGTTAATGTATTGTTTAAATAAATAGCGTGTATTATAACTTTTTATTATTATTATTGGTGCCGTACGTCGCCGTGTTCTTATATCCAACTTTCCCTGACATAGTCTCTGGGTCTCGCTAAGGAGTCACATAAGATTTTTTTTTTTAAACTGAGTAGCTCACTTTTTTGTTAATGAAATAATTATCGATATCTAAAATTTGTTGAAAAATGGATGAAAAGTTTTTCGCCAGAGTGTGGATTTGAACCTGCGTCCTGCAAGATTCGCGCCCCCACACTAGCTACTGAGCTTAACGGCTTGTTTTCACTCCAACTAGGAAGCACTGAAATAGCACTTTAAATATTAATATTCTAAAAAATGTTACTAGCAAAGGTGTCATCTCTTAAGGGTTAAATTTAAACAAATGCAAAATAAATAATATTTATTATACTAAGCTACGAGGGGTTGTCAAAATGTTCGCGGAATGAAGGGGTTGTTAGTTTAATTAATCCTGGTAGTCACTAGTAGAAATACTCATTAAGGTTAAAGGTGGTAAATATTAAATACCAAATTTGAACCTAATCGGGTCCCTCCACCCGTTAAACTCATGGATATACTTAGGTGTCGTCCTTGACTCTAAACTCAAATTCAGACAGCACGTGATCCGGGTCACGAACCGAGCGGCCTTCGCACTTGGTCGCCTGTATCCCCTTTTAAATAAAACTTCAAAAATTTCCCTTCGGAATTCGGAATAAGGTGACTTTATATAAGGCAGTAGTTCGCCCCATCATGACGTACGCGAGTCCGGTCTTTGTGCACATTGCCATGAGGCAATTTAGAGCTGCCAACCATCGCTCAATTCCTGAAGTCGGCGTCGCGCCGCTACTTCGAATCCCGTTTTAGGTGCCGTCACCTACAAACCCCTACCGCTAGGTTCGTTCCGGCGCCAATGGCGCAGACCACGACACGTACTCAATTTCTCTGACGATGAGACGACTATCGCCATCGACAAAATAAAACAATTACGCAAACACACCAGAGCACACCGCACTCGCCGTGCGGCAAGCATATACTAGGTTCCGCCACGTACCTGGCAGGTTTTCCCCCGTTAATGATAGAAGCGTTGCTGGAGTTTCTTCCGCCACTTATTCTCCCAGCGCCAACGCTTTCCGAAGTGATAGTAATGATAGATCTAGAAATTCTCCCAGTAAGATAATAGCTACCGATTGAGCAGAGGTCCGGCCCTCTCGGGCACCCTCGAATCGGAATGCTAAACGGTAAAGTGACAGCCCAAGCCGAGGTCCTCTCTCGGGGGCCCTTGAGCCTGTTCACTCCATGGAGCGTCCATCACAGCGCCCTAAGAGCTTGGTGGCCTCCCAAACCGGTAATGATATTATTACGCGTTAGTCACCATAATGCGTAATAATAATACGCCGAGTTTTAGGTTCGTCAGTGCAAGACGGGTTGCGAGAATACTAACGCCGCTCCAAAAACATGAGCGCGTTGAGTGCTCTTGCCAGTTTTTGGAGCTCTGTGTTACTAAAGATGAAACCGTGTTACTGGAGATGAAACTTGGGTTCACCATGAACCCGAGTCAAAGCAGGAGTCGATGCAGTGGCATCCCCTCCCCCTCCCAAAGTAGAGAGTGTCGCAATCGGTTGAGAAAATCATGTTGACGATCTTTTGGGATTCAGAATCTTACCGATTTATTATAAAGAACTATATGTTTCTATAACGGGCCAATACTACGCTTCCTCAATAGAACGTTTGAAGGAGTTTGAAGAAGTCTATCAAGGAAAAAAGAATAGGAAAATTTGGAAAAGGCGTGCTCCTATTGCACGTCAACGCAGGGTGCGTACCAAAGCCGGATGCACACCCTACAGTGTAGGTCTAGCCCCTACTGATTATTATTTATTTCCAAAATTGAAGAAAGAGCTCCATGGGCAAAAATTTTACAACTTTTTGACATCCCCTCGTACTGTTACAATTAATTCTGTACCTTCAAGATTACCGAGTTTTTTTTTATATGAAAAGTTGCCAAGCGAGCAGACGGTTCACCTAATGTTAAGTGAATACCGCCGCCCATGGACATCCCCTACACTCGAGGGTTGCAGATGCGTTGACAACCTTTTGAAAATTGGGCTCCGGCCACCTCGCTCACCAGACGAAACGCGAAAGTATTATACTTCCACTTTACGCCGGTCTTCTGTGAGGCCGTGGTACTTACCCGGGCGAGCCTGCCCATTCGTGCAACAGCCGAGACTGCTGCGTGGCCCACCACCGTCAACTACCCTACCGAGATATAAAAACTGTAACTCAGAGATAATATAAGAAGGAAACTACGATGTTGACTGAGGCCCTTCCTACAACGCCGCAATGAAATAACAAATACATTAGTGAAAAAATAGATACATTGAGTGTATTCAAAAACTTCACTCGTTAAAGCAATTCAAAATGCTAGTCAATGCAGTTATTTATTGCTACCATACTTAACATACCATAATTTATTATTCGTCTAATTCATATTTAACTAAAAACTACTTGAGTGGACGACGGAATAGCATCTACTCTTATACGAATGGGCAGGCGCGTCGGGGAAAATACCACGGGTCTCATAGAAGACCAGCGTAAAGTGGAAGTATTTAACTTTTGGATTTTCGTCTGGTGAGTGTGGTAACCGGGGCCCACTTTATTAAAGGTTGTCAATGCTCTGCAAGCCATCGGGTATTGAAAATGTCAATGGATGGCGGTATTTAGGACACACAGGACAATTAACATTAGGTGAACCACTTGACAACTTTTCACAAGAATGTGGACAAATGTTTTCCCTCCGGCAGCGGAAGAAAGTCAGAGTTCGCGAAGAACAAGTGTGTACGCATCGACGCGAACCCACTGCAAGCAGTTAAGTCTTAATGCAAGCATTATGCTCACACAAAAGTATACAGAATTTGCACGATCCTTCTGTAAATGTTCAATTTGTTACTGTATGCTTTAGCACGTCGACCAAAGGGAACAAACGCTTGTGTCGTACACTACACTAAAGTGCCGCACAGTTCAGCACACTGGTTGGATCGCATCTTAATAAAATAAAATATATAGCGTCCGCAGGGTCACCCATGAAAATGGGTGTCCAAGGATCAATCTTAGGCCTGTTATTATTTTTAGTATATACAGGGAGGCTTTTCTAAGTGTATCCATTTTTTTAATTAAAATCTAGTCATAAACAATGTTATATAAAAAAATGATAAATATTTTAAATCACTCGTAAGTAATTAATTACATTGATTTGAACTTATCTCCAAAAGGGCGTGATTTATACGCAACTCATTTATTTTACGCACGATCCTTCATAACTGACACGTACACAAGTTCGTTTGTGTGTGTGAACAGTAAAATTTAGGTATTTATGAACGACTACCGCGTTGTCAACAAGTTCTTATTTTTAGGGAATGGAATGGTAATTTTTTTTGAAAAAAAAGTTTGTTTTTATTTCAATAAACGCACCTTTAAAAAGTCTCCCTGTATAAATGTATAAAATGATCTCCCATTTTATACCAGTGAGTTGTGTGATGTTGTAATATTTGCTGAAGATACATCGCTTATTTTTAGCGTTAACCGTAATGCATCAAATTCGACGTTGTTTTACCATTAACGATATGATATTAAATCCCAAAAAAAAATGTATTCTTTTTCTTCTTCTTTTTTTTAATATCATAAGAACGCGCAAGCATTCATTTAACTAGAGATAATTTCAATTTGAATTTAAAGCATATGTGAAAAACACTAGATGACGCCAAAATGAAATTTCGATATTAATTTATGTGATCATTATGATGTTAATTGATTACTGTCATTCACGAATATCTGCTATACCTGAGGGGTTGCAGATGCGTTGCCTAGAACTGGGATTCGGTTATCTTAACCAGAAGAAACGCGAAAGAATAGTACTTCCATGTGACGCAGGCTTTCTGTGAGGCTATGGTACTTCTCCGGATGAGCATGCCCGTGCATTATAAGCTAGTGCGTAGTCCTACCACAGACATCGATCAAGAAATTTTCATTTATTTTCATTTTTTAACTTTCTGTTCTCCATCATCTGCGGTCTGTTTCTTTTGGACCTTCGATTGACTACTTCTCCGGATATCCGCATAAACAACTAAGGGCGACCGGAACTTCAGACCGAGGCCGGTCTGAAGGGATTCAGACCGGCCTCGGTCTGAAAGGGTTCAGCGGATCATCTCAGCACCGTTGCTGTTTGTATCGCTGATGAAAGAAGAAAGAACTTCAGGGAAAGAACCTTTTCATTCCGTTCTCTATGATCCTTGTAGCAAATCGGTCGATCTTTCAATGTGACACACCAGTTTGCAGCTACTTTTCATGAAATTTTCTGCTTACTAATCATGCAAGAGCGTTTTCTGGAAATGGCCAGAGTGAATAATATTAGGGACCTAAAGAATATTTCTAACTCGAAGGTAATTTATTTGTTTGGCCTTAGGCGTTTATCATTTACATTTTTTATGTGAAAAGTCGGCAATAGAGCAGGTGATTCACCTATCGTTAAGTGATCACCACCGCCCGAAGATCTCTGAGATCTACACGAGATGCAGATGCGTCACCAACTATTTTAAAAAAAAATCGCTTATCCGCTGGCTTCTTTTCCTCCTTTTATAGACACAAAGTGCTAAGGATTTTGACTTAGTTAAAATAAAAGTATCCTAAACAAATGCTATGAAAATTACCCTATAATGGAACGTTATAACTGTCACTGTCAATTTATTTTCTTTCTTAATGATTTTCATAGATGGCGCTGTTAGGTAGATCTGCAGATACAAAATGGGTACTAACTGAATACTCTTTTTGGATTTATACTTTACGACATTCAAAGTTTGAACCAGAATGGAGTTGTGGATATTTGAGTTGACTACTGTATTTAAGATAAACTCGTATCATATTTACATTTGCCCAAGATAATATTCATACTTGTAATTAATGAACCATTATCAATTATTGTAACGTTGTAAATCTA